ACACCCTGTATACATATATTTTATACTTACTTGTATTTCGGGGAAATTTGCCAGTATAAACGTCACAAAATTGATTACGGCAGAAATTGTGTCACTGGCCTGCAAATATAAATTCACTTTAACATTATACATATATATAGTTTTTTATTTATTGTATAAGTATTAGAAAACATTGTCTGTACCGTTACCAACATAGTCATAATATTATCATGAAAATCTTTGTCTGTGAAGTTCATGTCTTGCGACGCTGCCATCAGAATTTGGTAAAAAGTTGTATCTATATAACGAAAGAAACATACATATTAAATTAAACTAAGCATTTAAAATATGAACATAATTTTTGTTAATTATATGCTGGAAAACTTTAATTTTAAACTTAAACTACATTTTTATATAAAAATTAAAAGTAAATTTAAGTAGAAACAATTTTCTGGAAATGTATACTAATAAAAGAAAGTATTTAATATTGTTTTAGATAGTTCCGAACAATTTATATTGCCATCATTTTGCAAACGAAAGCATTTTCATAACTTTTATATGAAATGTGAATAAACTTACGAGTTCGGTTATTCCCATCTGTAGTATTCGGATTATTGTGATCATGTTTGAGCTGCTGTATCATCTATGTAATAATATATTATGTAATGGATAAAATAGTGCAAGATGTTAATAAATCTATTTATGGTAGCATTACCTCATCGCCAAGTGAATTTATAAAATCCATATCTTTCTTCTGTTTGCGGCCCATTGCAGTAATAGAGAATGTACCATCAAAAAATAATAATATATTTTTTATTCTATATGTAAAATTATTTTTGCACCTGAAACACGGTTTTATATAAAATCGAAATTTTTATACATTTATCAGATAAGGTTATAAAAGATTATTGAACTAACTGCGACTATTTAATGTGCAAAATTTTATAAATAGAAGGAGATATCATTTTGTCAGTACTAAAGAACATATTTCTTCAGTAACAATATTAGTTTCTTTTTAATAAATATTAATTTACAAAAATTAATAAATATACCCACTAACTAAAATTTTTTTTATACATACAAATGTGATTTTTTACAGAAATATAAAATTTTGGAATTAAAAGAATTCTATATACTATATTCATATAAAAATTTATACCTTTGAATTGCTTTGACATATTTCTTGTTTTTTTCTTGTCCCAACTTTATGCCCATCATAGTACCTTTATAGTAACAACATATAAAAGAAATATTACTACTTGAAGTATTAATGAACTATTAATTATACAATAAATATAGAATTTTATATAGGATATTCATTTATTATTGAATTTTATGTTATACTCTATTTATATTATACTATACAAAGAAGAGAACACATTTGAATCATTTAAACTGTTTAACTTTAGCCATTGTTTAACTTTAGCCACTTTATTATATTTCTTTGAACCACAAAGCTACGAAAATTAAGTATTTTCAAGAATTGCTATAGGCATGGAAGATTTAGAGTTTTCTTTTCTAATTTTTTGCTGATATTTTTCGTAGAGTTACCGCGGTTTGATAATTGAACAGTTTTAAACATTTAAAGTGGATTCCGTATTTTTTATTAAGTAGCATAATTATGGTAGCATATATCCTTTTCTAAAAAAAGAGATATTACCGGTGAAAATGTTGTGCTTTGGTAGGGCCCCTTTTAATTTTGTAAATTCATGACTTTTTTAATAAAAAGGTAACACTTAATACATTATTGATCAAATGCATTGATATACTAGGTTATATATGCACATTTTAAAATATATATAAAAATATGTGATGTTGTCAAGTCTCAAAGAGCTGTCAAATTTCTTCAAAACAGTGTATCTTTTGACTTTACTAATAAGTATTTGCTTGCAGAGGTCAGTGATCTCATATATTTAATAGCACATTTGAACCTTTCCGGGAAAAAAAGTTTAAATATCATTATGCCAAATGTTGCATGTAACATTGCAATATAATTATACATGAATTTTGACCTGATTTAGTCACATATAAATAGATAAAATTGTTTCTAATTATATCTAATTAGATCGTATCATATAACCCATACAGCACAGTAAAATTTCAGCCACATTGTAGCAACATTTCGCGGCAAGGTTGTAACCATAGACATATGTAAATATAGACTGTGTGCCCTATTGAATAAGCTGAAGTTTGTGAAGAGAGAGACAGAGAATATTTAAGAAGACTTTCTTTCTCTGTCCCACCATCGTGACAATGGAGAATCACGCAGGCACGATTCTTTTCTTTTACGATGGCGTGAGACAGAAAGAAAGTTTTCTTAAATCTCTCTCTCTCTCTCTCTCTCTCTCTCTCTCTCTCTCTCTCTCTCTCTCTCTCTACAAGCTTTAGCTTATTCAATGGAGCGCACAGTCTATATTTACCATGTCTACGGTTGCAATATTGCCTAAATAATGCAAAATATTGCAATATTGCTGCAGGATTGTAGGTAAAAAGTCCGCCTGCAGAAAGATTACAATCACGAGACACAGTAGTGCCTCGCGCCAAGTACAAGCGTAGCTAGAAAGCGCACGCGAGACCGATTGTGTAGTTTACGCGAGTATTATATGCGAGTTGACAGGTCCTCAGATTTTTGGATCTCAACAACGGCTGATCCAGCGAACTTCTAAGAACTTCTAAGTTATATATAAATATAACCTTACGGCATGCCATTTTCCAAGCGTACTGTGTTATTATGTCAATAAGAATTATTTCCTCTCCCTCATTTGTATTCTCATTCAATTCATTTGTAAGTTTATCAGATTCTTCAACGAATATCTTGAAGAAATCCTGCAATATGGATGGACGGAATGTACGTGCACTTATTTTTCTTAATCGGGTCCATATGGATGCTAAAAAAAGTTTTAGAAAATTTATGGCGTAACTAACAATTAATATTATTATATAATAATGCTAAATAATATTAGGATTCAGAAATAATATAAGTAAACTTTAATATAAAAATAAATATACTTTATAAATGTAACACTAGAATATAAACAATTCTGACAGTATGTTAGAACAAATCTAAAAGCTTTGTTAAAATTAATTATAAAGAAAGTAACCAATTGCATAGTTACAAAAAAGTTATTAGTTTTACTGTTAGTACTTCTGTAGATACGATATCTTACCAGGAGCAGTAAATAATCCCATACCAAATAATGGTTTGAAAAGCTTATAAATTATACTTTTATCTAAGCAATTTCTGTCGTGTAAGATAGCCTAAAACATTATAAATTAACGTTTTTACATTTGTGGAAAAGTGCGCATGTTTGTTTCATTCGTGTAATAAATATATATTTCATCAATTATGAACCAATTTGTGATTAGTTAAAGTTAATTATACACGGAGAAAAATAATTTGCTGACACAGCAGATTTTTTGCTGTTGTAGCAAAATCTGTTCGTTATTATATGGACAGCAAGAAGATTTGTTACGAATACTAATCGCAATTTGCTGGATATAATTTGCTGGATTAACAAAATTATCCCGAGCAGTAGTAGGGTTCAGGCAGCCCTGACAGGGCCCTTTGTTGCTCCTTACAGTTTTTAATATGGGGTGGGGTATCAATAGGCTTCCTATTAAAAAATTCACTTTGTAACTAATTGTTAAATTGTGTTAAATCACATAGTCATCAAAAGTATATTCAGGTTATTGAGGTCTATCCATGATCCAGACAACTCGCTCTCGCATCATATCGGCTCGCCTACTAATACGGGACGATTTTTACTTACGAGAAAGACGCGCCGGTTGCCACGTCGCGGCAGTATGTGGTACTAGTGCTATCTATTCAGGAGGGAATCAGGCGTATCGGGATTTCGTTATGACAGCAAATGTATTTGCTAAGAATATATTATTTTGCTTCAGTAGCAAATTTATGTGATTGTAATTACAAATACACTCAGCAAATTTTGTTCTATTCTCGCAACAAAATAGATTTTGCTATAATGACGAATAATTCGTAAAATTAGTTCTATCAACTAAATTTTATTGCTATTACTACGAATATGCAGTAGCAACGGCGATTTTGCTATCACAGCAAAATTATTTTTTTCCGTGTAAAGATACGTACATTACATATGCATGTATGTATAAAATATATATGTAGAAAGTCATTTAAAATAGCTATCTATGAAAAGATAATAGAAACATTAGGTTAAACTGAATGATTTTCCTTTACTTGTGCCTGTTGTGGGTCATATATTCCAATGAATAAGTTGCTGCCCAACCAAAAGTGAAAAGGAGATGAGTATTCTTCTGCGAACCGTAGCATCATATTCAAAGGTTCTAAAAATTTTAGTATATTGTTTATACATATATTTAGTAATTATGTACTATAACGGACCACCCTCCAATCTTGATGACCTTGACATAAGTTGTCATGGTCTTGATCCTGAGTGACATTCAAGAAGATTTAGCCGTCGGCCGGTGTTTGTTAAAAAGTTATTAACAAAAAATGTTTAACGATTATGGTTTTTAATATTTATCTCGCAAAATATTTAAAGTTTTGAAAAATGTTTTAAACAACCAACCTCCTTAAACATTTTTGTTAATAACTTTTTAACAAACACCGGCCGACGGCTAAACCTTCTTGAATGTCATTCAGGGTCATGACCATGACAAATATGTCCAGGTCACCGAGATTGGAGGGTGGTCCGTTATAATATAATACATAATTACCATATATTCTATTATCAAAATAAATATTACGTACATTTTTAATTAATATAATAAGATAAGCTCGTTTCGTGTAAAGACAAATGAAAAATAACAACAGGCCAATATTTATACGAGTAATTTCTGTAGCTCTAAAATGATAGGAAACTCATAGGATCGGGTTGCGTCCTTGGCAACTTTTGATCAGCATGACTCGAAGTACAAAATGGCACAGTTTCATCGAATTTATCCGGGATCGAATTTCCCCGTGTTTTGTGCGGGGTCCTTTAATACAAATAAATATTTTATTAAAAGATCGCCTTTTCTAATTTAATTGTGGGATACATATCGATCCTGATTCGTGACATTCCCAGTGAGACAAAAAATGTCGATCCGACATCAAATCGACGTCGATATGCGTGTTCGAAATGAAATCGAAATTAAAATCAACATCGATCTCTTTTTGTCACTGATGTCGATGTCTTGTCGATTTAAACTGTATAATCGGACGACTAAAACTCTTTAGCTATTTTTACATTTCATAAAAAGTTTGAATTACATCTCGAATTACATTAAGTGAAATTATTGAATTATATTTAACTTACAAAAATATTGAATTATATTTAACATATAATCTTATCTTAAAAATATTTATGCCAATTTTAAATATTAAGTAAGTCAAAATATTAATATTTCTTCTTACCAATATGATGCCATAGAAGAGGATAGTTACCCAAAACCGGCCATGTTTTGGGTCCTGGCAAATTAGTTAGTCTTCTAATAAATATGTAGTCTAACGTGTAATATGAAATAACAGCGATTATGACATAAATTAGTATTTCCGTCACAGATGCAAACATCGTAGTATACAACAATTATACCGTGCAACTTATACTTAATCTGAATGTTTCTTTCTGCATAAGTCCGTAAGGCATGGCTTATATATATACATGTGCCCCGCCCACGCCTTTGGCCTTATAATGTGCTCCCCACCCGATGAGCAGTTTGGGAGTGGAGCCTAATAAAAGACCAAGAACACGAAATAAATTTCTACGATGAATACTTTTTATCGTACCATCAACTCTACTTCACTAACTCGAATGGTTTTTATATTTTCCCAGATGTATATGAATGAGTGTGAACCTAGCATCTCAAATGATAGCATCTCAAGAATAAACTGCGTATTTACTTGCATCCGGCATAGTTCTAGAGTCCTTTATAAGTTTTAACAATAGTTCTATTAATTTACACTTAGAATCGTATTTTAAAGAAATGAGATGCTAACTTCTCGTATGGCATTATAGGATCTCAGCAAATTTCGAATCTTTCACTGTGGGGGAGTAATATTCCGATGAGTTCTCCATCCTCGGAAAGATATGTCAAGAGTTCTGGCGAAATAAACGAAAAAAAAAATATTGTCGCAAAATGAGATGCCGCTCGAAATATCAAAGTTCCGGTTGGTATAAAATATTTTTATACAGTTCTGAACATGCTTCAACATTTTCTAAAGAGTTCTATGCATTAGCAATGTTTAATTATTTATAAATAAATAAATACAGTCTTGAATCGCGTATTTCGTGAGATTAGGGTGAGATTTATTTAAAAATCGTACACCTCGCTAGAGACCAGAACTCTTTACAAAATAGTTAAATGTGTTTAAGAACTGTAGGAAAATTATTTTATGTTAATCAGAACTCCGCGATTTCGGTCAGCATCTCACCCTAATCTCACGAAATACGCGATTCAAGACTGTATTTATTTATTTATAAATAATTAAACATTGCTAATGCATAGAACTCTTTAGAAAATGTTGAAGCATGTTCAGAACTGTATAAAAATATTTTATACGAACCGGAACTTTGATATTTCGAGCGGCATCTCATTTTGCGACAATATTTTTTTTTCTTTTATTTCGCCAGAACTCTTGACATATCTTTCCGAGGATGGAGAACTCATCGGAATATTACTCCCCCACAGTGAAAGATTCGAAATTTGCTGAGATGCTATAATGCCATACGAGAAGTTAGCATCTCATTTCTTTAAAATACGATTCTAAGTGTAAATTAATAGAACTATTGTTAAAACTTATAAAGGACTCTAGAACTATGCCGGATGCAAGTAAATACGCAGTTTATTCTTGAGATGCTATCATTTGAGATGCTAGGTTCACACACATGAGTTATGATTATTCCCCCCCCTCCCCCCGCCTCAAGTATCTTCTCTACAAAAGTAATGATATCATCAAATGTCTCCAACTAAACTGAATATTTATACAAACTAGGTTCTTTATCATTTTTTATATTAGAATGTTACATCCAAACAATATTAAGCATACAATTTTATCGGAAGAAATAAAGGAAATAATAATATTAATATTATAACATCAGTGATTTATATTGACTGTATCTGGCAATTTTTATAATACAGAAAATTTATTGCGAAAAATATTACTTCAGCCAGGGTTTGAACCTGGACCTCCCTTCTCTTTAGGCGGGCGTCTCAACAAATTCGACCACTGAAATATATGATAATATTAGTCGCAATAACAGTATAAAGTCGAAATAGACGCATAAATAATATCTTTATTTTATTTTCGGCGTCGGACCGTAGAAGTTAAAAGAAGATAGAGTCGAATGCTAAACCACCTCCCCCCCCCCCCTCGCCTATCTCTACCACACGCCCGGCTACAATTTTTATGTTCATGTCCTTGATTCTTGGTCCGGAGAAAGTTCACACCGTGAAGGACTTGGCGTGAATAAATTAGTCGACTAGTCGACATTTACCAGACTCTTAACGTCAAAACTCACATCTCGACGAAACGATGATCTTTCTGCAGCCGTCAATAAATCCAAATACGCGTCACATTTTATATCCTTTATGTATTGCGTTGCGAGAGTTTTTTAATCTTTGGCTTTTATATTTAAATTATTTTCTTCCCATACAGCAAACTACGTTTCTGAAATATTTCAAGGTTTCGGAAACATTTCATGTATCATCCCTGCCAGCACTAGACGTAACAGCGATTGGTTGGTCACAAAGTTGCAAAAAAATATGATGCGTCTTTTACACGTTGCCGCGACGTAACGTACAAAAGAATTTAATTAGCTGTCTGTCGGATTTTTGTAATTTTGTGGTTAGTACCTTATATAAAAATAAATTGAAATAACATGTAACTTATTTTTAATATAAAATTAAAAACTTTAAATTGTTACGTCGCAGAGACTAACAAAAGCGACGAAGTGACCAATAAATTTACACCTCTTATATTAAAAAGCGGTAATACAATATATTGACTGCGAAAGAGATAAAAAGGGAAAATAAAAAAGCTAAATGTAACATAAAAATATATATGTATATTTTTACATCATTCTAATTTATTACCTCTTTTCTCAGTGTTCTATCTATATTATAAAACATAATCGTCCGATTTTGAGAAGTTGAGATTAGTTTTTACTGTGTTATATATGTAATAAAAATTTCTCTTGAAGAGAAAAATATTTGAATGTCACTGCGCAGTTTAACTCCGCCTCTTTTGCGCAGAATTACAAAATTCGTACTACTGCGATCGCTTTGAACGATCTGGCAACGACGTGCTTCTTCTCGTAATGAATATATGTATGAATGAATGTGTCAATTGGCTTCAACAGAAAGGTTAATTTTCGTAAGGATACACGATGTCGAACAGTAAAAAGCTTATATTTTATAGTAAAATTTTTTAAATAATTGGCATCACTGTGTCCATATGGTTGCTATTACTAATGTTATAGTAATAGTAACTATAAAAATGATATTCCTGGCTATAATTACAGTAAAACCTCTTTTATCCGAGGTAATGTGGCGAGAAGTATCTCGGACAAGCGAAAACTCGAATAACACGGAAGAAACACAAAATTCGAAAACTTTTATTATTTTTTATATATTTAAAATGCTACAGTGGAATTTAACCCCATGAACATATAAAAGTACAAATTTAACGAACGTAGATTAAAATTTATGCTTGTTTAAGCAAAAAGTATGTTGCAATCGCAAACTACTCCGCGCATACAGCATAGCGGTGTCATCCGTTTTAATGTAGCTGAAGCTAGCAGCCAGCGCTAGCAGCGAAACACCGCGCGGCCAGGGCCGAATGTCATATGGGTTCCTCGAGGGGCCCAGTCGTATCATAGGGTGATTATTACTGGCTATTGACGTTCTCTAAGCTTTACCTACTTAAGAAAAGTTAAATACACATATATACTTTTCACTGTCATCAAAAAGTTTTGTCATCGATTCTATATAGGAAAATGTTTCACTTATTATTGATTATACGATAATTATGGAATGCAAAGAGCGATTCTCTTCAAATTTTCAGGGGATTATATTCTTGTAATACTAAAACGA